CTACAATTGGTAGATTTTAGTAATTTTACAGTGAATTAAATCCCTATGTTATAGTATCCTTGAAAATTTTAATGATGGGTCATGCAAATTACAATATGCTTATTGACAATCCTCATTCACATTCCTGTCTGCATATTTTCCCGTCCATTGTTTTCACTGGAGATGAGTTGTCTACACACTCCAAATTTTGACTGTTCTGATGTCGATATGGAAAAAGGGGTTTAGTGCTGTTGTTTACAAGAGATTCAGAAACTGGGGCTGATTTATTCTATAAGTAATAGAGATACAAAGAGATCCAGATGTCTCTTAAATCCAAGGCTAATGTGAATTAGCACATCATGATCTGGTGCAATGCAGTCCCGGTGCATATAACATGCTACATCTTTACTAAAAATGTCTGAAAAGTCTTTACTGAACAAGAGAAAAATGCAATCTAATTATATAAGTAAGTTGCTTCTATAAGTTTGCTTTTTTTTCCTTAAACATTTAGTAGAACTAAATTGGTACAAAGATATGTTGATGACTTTTGTTCAGAGGGTAAGTACTGTGCTGCTCTAATTGGTTCTTAGCAGATATGTGTATATATATATATATATATGTATATTTTATATATATATATATATTATCCAGTACATTTTGTTTGTAACTGTATTCCTATCTCATTCTCTTAAAATTATTCTTAAATATTATAGTCTAATTTTTAATGAATTTATTGTTTTAAAAGGATGATACTTTTTTCTATGGAAATTAATACAATAACTTCTATAATATATAAGCAGAAAGATATATAGAGAAGTATAAACACATTGCTGTTTGTAAATGAAACTTTTTCTTCTGTGATTAATTTAAAACATAATTTCAGCTTCATCTTGCAAATATTGTTTAAAGCAAAAGCTTTGACTATTTTGTTTACAGTATTTTTTAGAGGGTCATTTGAAATGTGTAGCTTTAAGTTTTAAAAGTTTTATGGAATTATAGCAGATGACCAGCTGTTTCCAGATTGCTAGGGCACAGAAGTTAGAATTCCCATTATCACATTAATCATAAAGAATTGAGACTAAAAAATCCATTTTATTTATTCTCATTATTGAATAAAGAGTTCTGTAGTGATGCCTATTTGTACTTGTTTCTCTAATAAAAATCAACTGTAGCTCTCAAAACAAATTAGTTTTAATTATTTAAATGATATGAATTTGTCAAACATAAATAATCTAACACGTGTTTTGCCTTTTCATTTTATGAAAGAAATGTTTTGTGAAAACTATTAGAGGATAATAGTGGGAAATAACAATTACAAAGGTAGGTCTATGCATTTATTACAAGTATCAATTAAAAAAAAATACGCAAATGTGAACGGATCACAATCTGTCAGGATGAAGAAGTATTCCATTTCATTGTTGTGCGAGGTCACAAGAGAAAACAGCAAAATAGAAAAATGTCTCTCATATGCTGATTCAGTGCAACTCACTCATCCTATGCTCATCTTTGAGAACTGGTAAAAGTGATTTACTGTATAGCAATTCATCATATGAATACGATGCTAACGTTACAAAGCAGTGATTGTTGTGGCTTTTGAGATGCTGCCACTGTAGAATGTGTGAAAGAAACCTCTTTAGGCAAAGGAAATGACAAATCTGTGTTTCCTGCTTTCTATTTGTTTTAGTAACTTCACTTCTGGAGATCTACCTGACCATACATGAAGAGTACTCAAAATGTGTAATGGGATATATAAAACAATTGTTTGCTAAAAATAGGGAGTGGGATTTTTTTTTTTTCTCCACTGAATACTATAATGATATCAGTTATTTATGTCTTGTGTTACATTTTGTTTTAAAATACCACTATTTAAAATTAGTAATGTCTTAACACACTATCCTGCATTCATTTATCATTTGGTTGAGGAGGGAAATTAAAAATGTAATTCAATTGGTTGGTAGTGCTGGCCTTATACAACACTTGAAGCATTGATAATTTGTACGATTTTCTGTATATTAAAACATACTTTAATATTTATTATCTTTGTGGTGTATTAACTGATATATTTTTGGTAAAGAAAATATGCTAAGCAGATAGTTACTGTTCTAAATCAACAAGGTAATTTTAGAATACTATGAAGCTGTTCAAACCTACTACTGAGTAGTTTGGCTGAAAGATTAGTCATCTCTATTGTCTGTTCTTGAGGTGTCTCTCCCTCTGTGCAAAGTATTTCTAGCAGTAAAGATAATCATGAGAACTTATAATACTCCAAATATATCATTATGTGACCACAGTGTGTATTGTGCCCTGTACATCAACAGTGTAGTTCAAGCTTTCAGAGCTGTCTTTAAAGAGAAGAAAAAAAGTGCATTTTCTCAAAGTGCTTCTATGATTATATTTTATGTAAATAATATTTCTCATTTGAAAAGCTTATTCTCCTAATTTTGCATATCTTCCTCCTTTTAAAAGCTGTTTATTTTCAATAAATACTTACTGTCAATTAGACAGTAGATTGAGTGCAAGAAAGGTAGTATAGGAGTAATGGTATTTTTTAATGGCATTAGAATTCAACTAAAAATTGATTGTTGAAATAAAATAATTTGTCTAGTGTTTCAAAGAGTCAGAGTATGTAATTTCAAGAAAATCTGGTTTTGCTTTAGTTCCAGTTTTTACAATAATTTTCATAAATATGTGACTTGAAACTTTATTAACTGCTGTGTTAATTAGCAGACAAAAAGCTTATGCAAAAACAGGAGGTTGTTTTCAAAACTACTGAGGAAGACACTTCTCTGTTCTTTTGGTGTTGAAGATAGAACTCTTAACTATTTTAAGCTTCCAAAACTATTTATTTTTTTAATCTATCTACAAATTCAGGAGAAAAAAAAAATCTTTCTAGAAAAGAAATTAGTTTTTATTCATACACTAGACTGGAAATTTTACATTCATTTTACGTAGGCTGTTCTAAAAATGTACCTTACAATCCAGTAACTAATATGTAATCTGGCTACATAAATTTATGTAAGCAGCATAATTACTGATGTGGCATTAATTTCTGCAATGGTTTTCAAGAAGCCTACATGTTAGTAAAGGTGTTACGATGGTAGTCAATTAAGCACATCAAGATAATTTAGTTTTTAAAAAGTATAAAATATTTTTAAAAAGTATTGAGGTAGTGTCCTATCTGATCTATTTTCTCAATTCTTAAATATGTTTCCCTAAAGAGATAGAGTTCTTTGCTACTTAACATACTCAAAAAAACACAAACAAACGAAACATACAAAAGAAAAAACAAAACATGACACCAAGAACAATAAAAGAACACCCTTTTTAATCTAATGAATTAATGGTGAGCAGCAAATATCACTCTAAAATTAATTGCATGTTTTATCTTCTGAAAGCTCACTTGGAAATATATTATGTTATAGCCTCTTATGAAGCCCAATGGAATTTCATATTAATTTTTCCTGACACAAAATACTACTCCTCTTTCAGCACTTGGAGAGTGTAAATCTTATCACTAAATATTATAATTTCTTCTCTGCGTGCTGCTTTTAAATCTAGATTCAAAGTCTGAATATTATTTAAGTTGAAAGAGGAAAATGGAAGTAAAAACACCATATTTGAGAATATATTCTTTTTAGTGGCAGTTGATAGAAACATCTGTGATATTGTTTACTATACTCAGTGTCTATTTATGTAAATGTTTTTAATTTTACAATTTGTAAGCCAGTATAGTTAGAAATACTAAATAATCTGCATCCAATTTGTATAAACTCATTGAATGTGCAGTTTTCCCTCATTTGAGCTAAAACATTTGAGTTAGTGTTCTGTGTGTCTCTTTTCACACAATATAGCTGCACATCTGAACAGTTACAGACTCTGAGATGTGGAGGATAAGAATAAAGAAGCAATAACTGTGTTTTTGTAAAAGCCACAAAGCTTCGAAAGTATGTCATAGAGATATGATTACAAAAATGAGAAGCCATTTTACATTTTATTGTGGTGTTTCAAGAAAAAGTGTACTTTCACTAAATTCTTACTCAGATCTTATCATAAATCTGACCCTATCAAGCCTCAGAGAAATTTGTTCCGCTAAAAAAAGTTATTTTTGAGGTTTCTGATAATAATTTTTTCCCCTGCCCATTTCTTTTTTCTTTGTTTTTTTTTTTAATTTTTTTTTTTTTGGTTTTTTTTTTTTTTTTTTTTCCTATCAAACACTGGTCATTACAGTGCAGAAGGAAGATGGTTCCTCTTCAGACTGCATTACTTACTGGGAGGTAATTTGATTGTCTGTTACTAATGTGCTAATTTTTATCATTATTGTAGGTCATCAGGACAAGCAATGGAGAGACATCACTGTGAATAATTTTAAGTCAAAAAATGGATTAATGTTTTGCTTCCAACATCAGCAGGAATGCTAGGGTTCATAGCATCCATGGGTTCAGGTGTTTGCTCTTTTACTGGAAGTGTCTGACTACATTTCATTCAAGCAGAACTAAGGAGAAACACTAATTCCAATTTTAACTGAAAATGCATTTTTATATATAAATACTAAAAAAAAAAAAAAAAAAAAAAAAGACTCCTATTTATGTGTTTGATCAAATTACTAATGGATATAAGAAAGGACTCAGTACTGAAATTTGAACAAAGATGGGCAGCTGAAATAATTGATTCTAGCCTAGGTGATATAACTATTATAAGTAGAAGAGATAACAGGAATATTTGTGGTGAGGCTGAATTCTATTTCCTAGAGGGAAAGAAGGGGAGAAAAAAAAAAGTTTAAGGGAGCTATAGCTCTATCAAGTCCTCAGCTTTGACTTAATTTGACTTCTAGTGAAATGAATAGGAATTTCTGCTCTAGTGAAAATACTGATAAGAAAAAAAAAAAAAAAAGACTTTTAAATACAGTGATGTTTTATTTTGTTAAGATTACTGGTGTTGAAGTTTAACAGGTCTACTTTCATCAGTATTTAAACTGGAGAATACTAATTTAGAAGATGCTGTTTCAACCAGTCCAGTTCAAA